TTTTTTTTTTTTTTTTTTTTTTTTTTTTTTTTTTTCTTTAAAAACAAAAAACCAGACTTCTCTATAATATTGGACCTCCATCCCTCAATCCAACTATGAGCAAATTTGAGTTCCAAATTTTGAATAGACTTAAATTGGTTTAAGATGGATGACAATACATTCGTGACATATCATGTAATATTTAAAAATTTGAGTTTTTTTATTGTGTCCTTTCTAATATAGGATTTGAATTATGTTTCACAATATGGTTTTTCTTCCACCATACTTAAAATTTCTCACTTTTGTCAGGTTTTTATTTGTTGAAAAAAATTGATCATGCCAAACAAAAGCATGTACTTGCCTTGATGCTGGCAAATAAATTGATCGAAAAAGGAGATTGGATTCATTATATTCATACAGATTCTGAAGCAAGCTCAATTGGAAGGAGGAATAGGGCACTAGACCCACTTTTACAGGCAACGAGGGTCGGCATTCTTGAGGTGGTAATGGCAATCCTAAACAAATATCCAGAAGCTGCAGATTTGTTTGATGAGAATGGGAGGAACATACTACACATATCGGTCGAGCAAAAGCATGGATTTATCTATGATTACTTAATGAATTTTGTTGCTTACAAGGATAGGATGTTAGCAGATATTGATTTCCGAGGGAACACTATCTTGCATCTGGCGACGTGCGTAGGAAATCCTACTAGGTCTCCTTCTGGACTAGCAAGAAATCAATTGGTAGATGATGTTGAGGGTCGATGGAACACTGATTTGCATGTTGGAGCGAAGCGTGGAAGTGTTGGAATAGTTAACCAGATGAGTTGGGATGTGCTATGGTTTAAGGTACCAAACACTGCTCTTGCTTTTAGAATAACAACATTAAACATTAATTGAGGATTCTAATTAAATCATTTGAATTTGTGTTCCAATAGCGTGTAAAGCATGACTCATATCCACATTTATGGCATCTTCGAAACTCTGATGGAAAGGCAGCAGAGGAACTATTCGAAGAAAATCACACAGCTCTACGAGAAGAAGCTGAGAAAGCTGAGAAACACGTGAGTGACAACTTAATAATTGTCTCTATTCTTATTGCCACAATCAATTTCGCAGCCCTCTTTACCATCCCTGGAGGCTTTGATCAAAACACCGGCATACCTATGCTTCTCAAAACCAATCGGCAGGAAATACAGTTCTTCATGGTGTACATTGGATTAGCTCTTTTCTTCGCTTTTCTCTCCTTGGCAACTCTGGTGTTGATTCAGCTATCGCGGTTTGACACCAATGATTTTCATATTGCAATACCATTGAAAACCATCATTTCTACCTTTACAATTATCTACTCCACGGGCTTTTCTGCTACTGCATTTGCCCAGGGCTATATTCTTGAAGGTGAACTAGGAGCATTCATAGCCGCTTTTCTGATTTTTTTTGAGCTCCTTGTTTGCTTTGTGTTAGCCGTTATTGTGATAGAAGCAAAGTTTTTGATATTTGATTACATGTACTATGTGATTCGTCATTTGTTTTGTTATAAAAACCCTGATATGTAAATCTAATGTGCACTTATTTACATTTTATTCATCATTTGTTTTGTTATAAAATCCCTGATATGTAATGTGCACTTATTTACATTTTATTCAGTGTACGTATTGTCCTTTCTTAATTTCGTTATAGCGGAAGTCTCATGCTCTGGATTAACTATATATATATATATATTTCTTGTTTGTAATGCTAAAATAAAAATAAAAATAATTCTATAACTAGTATCGTTTGACTTGTTTGTAACGCTAAAGATACAAAAATTACGCATTCTCAATTTATGTGAATTCTCAAAAATAAAACAAAAAATGTGCAAATAAATGTTTTTCCTCACATTACATGTCAAATGTGTAGAATGTAGGGATGATAGGACTTTGTAACACTGCTCTTAAAAAAAATGGCAAATTTGTTTTATGAAAAACCAACCAAAAACAAACAAACGACAGGACCAAAGCTTTGCCAGCCAAAAAAAAAAATCGCTTCATATGGAAATTACATCTAGCAAAGACCCTAAAGCGATTCTGGTTTTAGACCCGACCCATTTGATATTCTGGACTCGGGTTTCATGGCTCTGTATTGTTGTTCATGTCTTATTTCCCTCATGTTTCCTTAAGTTTGGCTATTGGTTTGTAGTGATTGAGTTTTGGAACAGGTTGGTTGCTTGGTTTTCGAATTTTTGTTGCCTAAAATTTTACTCCTACGCTCGAGCGTCACTTCTTGCGCCCGAACAGGCCTTGTGAACTCTCAGTACTTTTGCAAGTCTACAAAACTATTGGGAGAGTGTATTCTACGGTGTTTTCTACGCTCGAGCGATCTTTCTTGTGCTCGAGCGTTGGTCTGCTATCTGCAAAATACTAAGAGTGTGCATTCTGCGCTCGAGCGTCATTTCTTGCGCTCGAACGGAATAACTTATTGTGTCTGACGCTCGAGCATTACTTCTTGCGCTCAAGTGGACTGTGCGTATATCAGTTCATGAAAATGACCTTTTACATCACTTTTTCACTTTCATTCCCTCTTTAAACTTTCTAAAAACCCTAGATCTAAAGTTTCTCTCTAAACTCTCTCTCTCTCTCTCTCTCTACATTTTCACCTAGATTTAGTGGTTTCCCTACTCGTGTGCCTTTGTTAGAAAGGTAGATCATCTCAAGGGCTATATTTCCATCCGAGTAGAGTTGAGTTTTGGCATTCTTAACGTCTCTCCATTTGTTCCTTTGGTCTTCTAGCTTTGAGGTAGGGATTTTCTAAACTCATATATGACTTTTAACTTAGTTATTTATTTGTATAAACACTATTGTGATTTTTGGAGGATTTTGAACAAACCTAGGATTTTGATTTAAAAACAAAAAAAGGGGTTTACAAATGGATGTATTGAAAATGGTTATGGGAGTGAATATGGGGTTATGGTGTTATAAATTTGCTGATTTTGACACATGGATTGGATTTGGGTGAAAATAGAATTTTGCCCTAAAATGTTTCAAATAATTATTTTGTATATAAATAATGGAATTGGTATGAAGAATGTGAAATTGGATAGATGTTTATATAAATGGTAGAGTTGGGTACTTGCTATCTCTCATCTGTGAAAATTTGGATAGTTTATCTGTTTTGGAGATTGTATATCTATTTTGGGCTATCGGTGGAGGATAACTATGATTGTTGTAGAAATTGCATGAGGATTAAGTAAATTAAAACTAATTTCTCATCCGTTGTCATTGAATATGATTATGTTTTAAATACATTATATATGTATGATATTTGGGAAGAAAAAAGAGGATGTACTCCATGTTTGAGAGAATATAGGGGATGTACTCTATTGAATTAAATTAGCCTGTATGTCCAGTGTGAAAGTCCTAAAAACTGCCTGTATGTATATATATATATATATATATGAGTGCTGATTCCCGCAGACGAAAGATCCGTAAAATGACAAATAGAAGTGATTGTATGATGGTGGTAGTAGTTAGAGGCCTATTGAGTTGTATTCTCAATTTGGTTGTCTAAATGAAATGGAACTGATGTCGTGAATTGAAATAATACAGTTGATACTGCATGGTTTGCAAAGGGATTATGAAACGGTTTATCAATGATATTGTAATTGCATATTACCCTTATATCTTTGTTAAGTTTCATATGTTGTACTGAATTATTTCTACTAGGTTTTGGCTCACCCTATATGGGAAAACCATTTTCAGGTATTGATGATATGCCTCAACCAAGGGCTTAGCTTGGGAGAACTGTGGAGCTGAAGGCTCATATTGTTTATTTTGCTTGTATTTTGTATTTCATATTTATACAAGCCTAGGACTTTATTTGTATGGAGCTTATGACTCACCTTTGTTGTACCCAAGCAGTGGCTTAGAAAGATGTAAGTCATTCAGGCATATGACTATCTGTGTAACTTTCATTTTGTTATGAATGTATATTAACCTCTGATTAATAAAAGTATATCGTTTCAATTATACCACCGCTCATGAGATAGGTTTATTGCATTTATTTTGGAGCGTTACAAACCCAATCCAACCAGTTTGCCCGCACCTCGATTAATTTCATGATACTACAATATTTTCTTAGTTTAGTAACACATGAAAATGCCACAAAACTATTCCTCTAGTGACATTTTTTTAATCTTGTGGCGTTTTGATTTTAAAAAAAAATGCTAAAAATGCTGATTTCCTCACATTGGCTTCGAGTTTTGCTACAAGGCTCTCTGAAGAGCTCCATGATTCATCATACCTCCCAGCATATAAGTGCTTCTATTCTTGTAATCATACTTTGTTGAATTCCTTTTACCAGAGCTTCAAATCTATTAAGTTCATTAAAATATTCGTAAGTAATAGAATATTCGTAAGTAATAGAAGAACAGAGCAATTAACTTGTTTATGTTAAATAAAAATAAATAAATAATAATAATTGGAAATTGATCAAGTGAAGAGAAACAGATACCTTAAAAACCTTTAATAATTCAAAAGTGCAATATGAGTAACAATTCCAAGATTGTCAATGAATTACTCTTTGGTTATTCTAATACCCCTATTCCTGCAAAACTAGATAAATCTTATGGGTGTTGATTTCCGACTATACAATCAAACAAGGAACTTAGCTGGAGAGTACGCGGCAGAATAGATTGAACCAAGCACCTGCCAACAAGATGATGAGAATACCATGGTGGCTTGACCACCCAAGGGCACTCCGACGATCAAATTAATCAATCTTATCTCTCAAAGATATCAATCAAGCACTTAAACTCACAAATGAAAACCATACCTTAGACCTAAAAGGGTGCCTTACTTTTGTAGCCATTAGTGCCATCATCTCTTAGAAGTCTCACTTCATAAGACTCAAGAATTGCACTTATCTCGGATTCTTAGTTAGATATGGATAAACTCCTCAAGAGCCTTATCCCTATTCGAACTAAGCACATCATCTGTCTAAGACTCTTGTCCTTTATCCAATTATCTCGGATTCCCATATTACCGTACAACATCTTGACAACACCGTAACCATCTCGGCAATCTAGACTATCCACGTGGCACCTTGGCCAACACCTCGACCACGTGGCACGATCCTCAAAATACATCCCCATAAATCCATTTTCAGATAGTTATTTTCATTATCTAAGAAGGTTAAAACAAAAAATAAGATCACCATGCATTATAAATATGGCCCCCTATTTGATGTGAATTTCTTGTTCCCAAGCATCCACAAATAAAGATTACTTCCACTACAAAAAGCTAATTGATTGAGAGTATCTATAGAATTCACTTCCATCCCCCAAGAAGTAATTAAATAGAAAATATAATCACCATACATGATAGTGATGTGTAAAGAAATGTTTTTGGGGCAAAAGAAAATTTTATTAATAAGTAATACAGGGGTTCCAACTTGGAAACAAACTCTTAGAAAAACAAAATTATAAGAAACCATTACAAAACTTTCTTAATACCTCTAAATTACCAGATCTCAAAACCAAATTACAATTTAGACTCCCTTACCTGATCTAGGCAAGTAATGAAGTTGTTAATTGAGCACTCATTTATCCCCTTATAAGCCTTCACCTGGTGCATAGCTCTCACTAGGATAATGTCCACAACTTCCTTTCATTTTGCAATTTCATTGTCAAAAACAGAGTTATTGCACTGAATCAAAAGACTGATTAAAACTGTGAAGAATAGTGACTCCCAGATTAATTTCTTCAATCTATTCATTTTAAATCAAAATCACCATCGCATTAACCTTTTCAAATCAATAAGATATACTAACAATAAACCCCGCCATTTTAAACAAAAAACTCCAAAACTTCATGAAATGGACATAAGTTATTTTTAGTAATCAACAAACCACAAGTAACAAAAAACTTGAACATTAGGTGGAATGAAGGATTTCCAAACCAGTTGGTATACTGACCTTGAGAGACCATATGAAGCTTGATGATGATTACAAAATGAAGCTACACAATATTGACCATTAAACTCCCAAGTCCATAACATTTTATCCTTTGCCTCAAATCTGGGACAAAAATAAAAAATTAATGTCCTTGTCATCTTCCTCCCTTTCCCAAGTAAAAAGATCCCTTCAATATTCTAATCTCCAAACCCAACCATCATAACCATGAAGATGCATGCAAGAATATAATAATTTAATTAGGAAAATAAAACCTGAATTTATAAATGATGAAAAAAAGAGAGCAAGGGATCTAGACATATTGTTATTTAAAAAAAATTCTAAATTCATATAGAGGGGAGCTTGAAAGCAGAAACAAAGTGCCTAATGCATTGTGAAACTTAGTTGTACAAGCAACGCAAGTATATCATCACCTAACTAGTTCTTGAGGGAAAAAAAATTCAGTACCTGCTTGACCTGTAGTTAGTTCCAACATTTAAACTTTTATAGCTAAAACAAGCACAAAAACTGTGTTTCTCACCCTTATCTAAAAAATATACTACATCAGCTAATTTATTCCATTTAAGAAATTAAGACGTCACAGTGCATGTGAAATGACATAAACTACATTCAAACATACATGTCTCATATGTCTGCAACTCTTTTAGGCAATTTATCAAACACGTAAAAGCCAATTGAGACCCAAACTAAGCAACAGGGTACATTTATCAACAAATGTATAAAAATTAAAAAAGAAAAAAAAAATTAAGATTGTAAGCATGAATAACAAAATTCTAATCAGCTTCAAACATTTGATTTCTTTCTCAATTTCTCAATTTTAACCAAACTCTAAACAAAATTTAAAGCTAAAAATTAGGGTTTTTAAATTTTAAGGTTCTTGTTAATGCAATATCAGTATTTTAATGAGAATTCAAATGTTATTCCTTTCTAAGCAATTTAAAATAAAAGATCCATAATATTATGAAGATTCTAATATTTAACAATGATAATGGAGTGTACAAATGAATTCCAATCTACATCCATTTTAAATATGTAGACAAGTGGTATTATTTTCGAATCATTATAGCATTTAAACAAACACTTGCAAGGCATTATATAAAATCACAACATTAATGCAATAATAGTAAATCACAATTAACCCTTGATATTAAAAGATGAAAATTAATAAATTCAGGAGTTAGAAGATTAGATTTTCAGATTGTATACAAGAACATCGTAAATAAGAGATAAAGATGGAGGTATTGTGTGTGTTTGCTTGTGTGTGTGAGAATGAGAAAGAGATAAAGAATGCCTAATGAATTCAGTAGATTGTAGAAGATGAAAACATTGCAAATTTGTGGTGTGGATGGTTACATAATAAACCCGTCCTTCATTATTTCACTCCCGCCTCTTTTGTCTCGCCAAAATTAATTTTACTTCACCAATTTCAGATTTGTTGGACTCGTGGATTGGGCCTCTGCTCTAACTTCTGTTGCTCTAGCTCGTGAATTGAGTCTCTAACCTTGGTATTTTGCTTTCCCCTATTCCCTTATTTCTTCAATTAAAAAAAATAAAAAAGTGGGGAATTGGTAACGAGGTGAATGGTAGTGGTGTATCAAAAATTTAATTATTTATTTATTTTTAAATAAGTTTGTTCACACTTTAAATAAAAAAATAAATATTAGTTATAGTCTTTACATTTTTAATTATATCAATTTTTACTTTTAATTTTAATTTTTGTGTCAATTTGATTCAATTTGGTTAAATAGTGTTTTTGACAAAAAATTATCATTGAATTGGTTGAGATCAACCCACCGAATTAAGCAAATTTATTTTGTATAAAAAAGAATGACATATGTCACTTATATACATATTTTTTTTATTAAAAAATGTTAACAATTATAAGCAATTGGAATAAATTGAGATAAATCTGTAAATTCAGAGTTAAAATCGAGTCAATTGAAACTACATTGACTAAAATGATAAAAGACCAAATCATGTACTTTGAAGTTTCCAATTTCATAATAAATGGCTCGTTTTATTATTAAATTATCAAGTCAATTAACAATTTTTGTGGATATCATAAATTTATTTCAATTAAATATTCAAGTAATTTGATCATTATATAGGAGAGCAGCTAAAAATTTTATTGTTTCAATTAATTCATATAAGGTTGTTGGTCAATTTTGTACATGTAGCAAGTAGAGTTAAAAAAACATATTATTTTGAGTTCAATTTATTTATTTATTTTTATTGTGTGCATTTGAGAGTATGTGGCGTTTTTTGTTTTTTCAAAAAATGCCATTAGATAGTTTGGAAAATTTTTGGCTGAGTGACATTTCACAAAATGCCATAAAAATTATTTATTCATGACACTCTTCATTTAATGCCATAAAAAGTTACTTATACCTACATAGTTCAGTGGCATCTGTTGATAAATGTCATTAAAATAATTCTTTGTGTCATTCTTTTCTAAAATGCCATAAAATTGATATTACTAAATTACATTATTATTGTAATGATATGGCACTTCTTTATTAAAGTGCCACTAGAACTTTTTATATTTGTGGTTCTATGACATTTTTCTAAAACGTGTCACCAAATATTTTTTTTTGTGATGTTTTCTAAAAGCATTTCACTAGTATAATACCACTAAAGTGTGTTTTTGCTCTAGTGTGAAGTGTATTTTTGCTCTAGTGTGACCCTGAAGTTAACAATCAGACAAACTTAAATCTCTTAAGATAATTCAAGATCTGAAATTTTATTCTCAAATCTTTACTGTTCGGTTAATTTCTTGGAGTTCCATCCCAACCCATTAAGGATATGTTTAAAGTTATGTTTGGTTGAAGAATTTGATGAGAAAAATAAATAGGGAAAATGAAATGCAATCACACGTTTTATTTGGTTATATAGGAAACACATGAGAAAAGAAGGAGAGAGATAAATTCCAATCTCACTTTTTGTTTTTGAGTTCATTTATACTCTCTTTTTTTTTTTTCCACCCCTCTGTTTCCTAATTCAGCCAACATTTTAGAATTTAAATCCTATCAGTTCTTTCTTCTTTTCTTTCTATTTTTCTTTCACTTTTCATTTTTCTCATCACATTCTCTAGTTGTGTTTGGAATATAGATTTAGAGAGTGATTTGAAAAGGACAATAAAAAAGAGAGGTAAAATATAAATAAAATAAAATTACATTTCACATATATTTCACACCCCTTTTCTGTTTTTGTTTCTAAATACAAAGCCTAAATGATTAGGAAACACTTCTTGAAAACACTACTTGATGCAAAATTTGATTCAACTGTTACAAAGCAATTTTGAATTTGAATCTCGAAAGTTGCCTTTCGAGTATTGAATGTACTGAAAATTAAGGTGTTACTTGAAATTTTAAGACGGAACTTTCGTATTGAAGGGATGTAACGTAATCTTTCAATAAAGGCAAGTAATATTTGTCACTTGATAAATTTTACTTTTTGAGCAACCACAGAGTTGGCTGAATTAGGAAATAAAGGGCTTGAAATCTTTCAATAACGTAATCTTTCAAAATGATCCAGAGCTCAAAACTCTGTGGTTGCTCTTCCATTGGTTACTCTGTGAATCACATCCATTGGTCTATCATAAATCCAATCTGCTCCAAAATTTTCATTCAATAACAGATGTGATACACAATGAAAATAACATTATTGTGAAAATAAGAGGTACCCAAAAATAAATTAGCAGATTGGATTTATTGCCATGTCTTCCATTGCTGTATTAGTTGAGAATTTTTTTTCAGATTCATTGTCTAAAAAATAAATAAATAAATAAACTCACACTTGATTGAGAATATCTCACAAGTCAGCTATTTGAACGGTGCTGATATAGCTTTGACAGTCCAATAGTGTATCATCTCATATACACTGCAGAGTCCACACTAATTTTGAAGCCAGCGTAGTGTGAAAGTGATGCAGTGCTGATCGAAACAATAGTAACAATCTTATGATCCGTTGATTCACACAAGAATACCGGAAATAAGACTCCTCTTTAGACCCGTTGATTCCCAAGAATACCGAGTTTAAAGGCTCAACCAAAGTTGATTCACACAGAATTAACCAAAGTTGGAACAAAGAGTAATAAAACTCAAAATATATTAATCATCAAAACTCTCTCCCTTGCCCTAAGGCTTACATCTTTATTTATAATGAACCTAATTCTTGTAGAACAAGAAACAAATAAAATAGGAAATAAAATCAAAACTAAGAAAATAGGAAAACTACATCATATTAAATTAGGAAACTAAATAACTAAATAATTCCATAATATTCTATACCAATTTAGAATATTCATGGTCAAATATTAATTTTAAAATAATAAAATAAAAATACTTATTTTCTAAAATTCAGTCTGCATCAGAAAGGTCATGTAATTAAGAGATTCCTCTATTAAATATTAAATGTGTAACTGATAATACATTTAGGTCATGTTTGTTTGGGTGGACATGAGCTTGGGATTGGACTAATAGTCCAATAAAATTATTAATCCAATGTTTGGTTAAACAATTGAAGTAGGGACTAATTATTTTAAACTTGACTATTAGTTAAGATAGGATACATAATCCAACGGATTCGTAATCCTAGGACTATCAGTCATGGGAATGCTAATCCAGTCCGCCCAAACAAACATGGCCTTAATTTAAAGAGAATCAAAGGCCATGCTAGTGTGTATTTATATGTTCCACCGATGTTATTCGCACATGCGCGTCCGCGAGTGGTTGGGAGCATTGTGGCGCTTTAGAGGCGCACTTAGACACAGGAAATTATTTAATATTTTCAAAATATTATGTGATTATACTCTAAATCGATTATCAATTATTTAATCTCATATTGTTTCTTCATTTTCAATATAAATTATGGATTTTTACACATTTCTACTAATCAAAATCTTATAGAATACCACGTGTCCATACTAATCAAAATCTTATAAAATACCACGTGTCTATACTCCGAGAGTATTGAATAATCACCCCTTAAACACATGACAAATGTGCATGTGACGAATGATCAAAGATTGTTGATTTTTTCAATTCATAGGGGGGTGATCATCGAATGTTTTACTTATGTCGTACTAAAAAATTATTTTAAAATTTAAAAGAAAAAATAGTTGGGATTATGTCAATAAATTGTTTTCATTTAAATTGTAATCGGTAATATTTTATTTTAGGTATTAACATCATCTTGTGATCGATCTCTAACATTTAGAGCAAAAAAAAATTAAGTGAATTATAAAAAGGGTTAATTATACTTAACACCACTGTAGTTTTATCAAAATTTTACTTTAGACCTTAAACTTTCAATTATAACAATCAATCCTCTACACTTTAAGTCAAGTTACAATCTTATCTTTCCATCCATCTACCGTTAACAAAGTTATTGTAATTTGTTATTTGAATCATGTATGACATTTTTATTGTCTCATTAACAGTCTTACGCTTTTATTAAAATCTTATTTTAGTCTTTACACTTTCTCCGAAATCTCACTTTAGTGCCCCCACTATCAATTTCTATTTACTTTATTAACAATAGATAGATAAACAGAAGGATGTGAATGAAATTTGATTTAAAGTGTAAAGAGTTGACTGTTATAATGATGAAAGTGAGATTTTAATAAAAGTACATTAGAATTAAATATAAGTTACCCATTATAAAAATTACTTTTAGCATAAAAGATAAATATATATACTGTGGGGATATATTTTCTGAGTACCAACACGTGGCAAGGTGACGCCGACGTGTCAGCCAAGGTGCCACATGTCTTGGTCGTTGTGCCGAGGTCATTTCGGCTAGGCCAACGTTGCCTCCGAAGATATCAGAATCCGAGATAATCGGATAAGGGACAAGAATCCTAGAATGAAGAGGGAACTCAACTTGGATAAAGACAAGAGCCCTAGATTGGGAGAAGACTTCAGTTTGGGTAAAGATAAGACTCTTAGAGAGTTTATCCTAAATCCACTGGGAGTTCCAGATTAGCAGTAATCCTAAGTCCATTAGGGCCAGGCTCCTATTGGGACTAGGATTGGATTGGCTATAAAAGAGAGGCACCCCCATGGGTCTAAGGTATGCCTTTGATACTCAACCTTGTGAGTTTAGTACTTGATTTATCTTTGAGAGATATACTGACTTGATCGTCGAAGTGCCCCCGGGTGGTCGAAACCACCGCGGGATTCTTATATTTCTGTTGCAGGTCAGTCAGGTGCCATCTATTCTGCCAGTGCTCTCCAGCTGGATTCTAAGCGGGCAGTGTGGTCGAAAAATCACCCACACAATGCAAGATGAGTTAGCCAAAGATTATGAAGTCTACCACTTGTTGAAATTTGTAGCAATTTACAAGGCTTTGTGTTAATGACTGAGCATTATGTGGGGTAGGTACCAATGAAGCCTTCCATGTCTGGCTAGCTGTTGTCGTCCTTTCTCGCCGCTCATCTCACTCTTTTGAACACCATCTAGAGTGACTAATGGTTTGTGTGCTCTCCGAACATCGTGCCTTGCCTTGCCCAAAC